GTGTGTGTGTGTGTGTGTGTGTGTGTGTGTGTGTGTCCTACAGCGGCCATCTTACAGCTCCATCTCCCGCTTTCTCTCCAGCCCTCTGACATGGGGCGCGCTCAGTGCACGCTCTGCTGTTATGCCTGCGCCGTCTTCTAAAATCGCCCTTGACATAAGCACTGTCATCTTCGCTCCCAGTTCTTTTAAGACCCCCCCCCCCCCTTCAGCGTTTGCAGCTTTTAACTCTGTGTTGTTCACTGTTGTGCCCCAGGTGAAGGCTGGTCTTAGGACGTTGACTCCCGTCGAACAAAAGTACATCGAGGAGGAGCCTAGAGTGTCCAAACAGGTACATCAGCAACCAACGCTTATCTCCTGTCACTCCTTTTTTTCCTTCTTTTATCTGTGTCCACCAATACACCTCCCTATTTCTGCTTAACTGTCTCAAGCAAAAACCAACAACGCCGCTGAGTGGCATCTTGTAAAGCACAACAACTGTGTAGGCAAGATACAACAGGATGATTGAAGGAAAAACAGCATTTTGTCTCTCTTTTTCTTTCCTTCCCTCCTCTCCCCCTTTTCTCATCTCTTTCCCCCACCTCACATCCACTCTGAATGGTGAATAGAAATGTCAAGCTGTCAGCTCTGTGGTGCATAAGTAGATTGGCCATCCTTATAGTTGGCCCTCTCTGCCACTGCTGCTTTGCACTTCATTGTCACGCTGCTCAGTGTGGCGGCACCACAAAGGGATGAATAGCAGGGGCTGGGCCACATCAGACGTGTCATATGAGTGACCGTTCGGGCTCAGCAGTCAATGTTACGCCACGCACAGCCGAGCACAGCCCTTCCCCAAACACACAGTACACAGCGCAGCGGAGCAGCTCCCCTACAACCCTTCCTTTTTTGTCAGCCCTCCATCTACTCCCCGCTGTCGTCTCTCTGCTCTTTCCTATATTATCTCACTCTGTGCTTTTTCTTCCTCCCAAACACTCCTTTTATTTTTCCTTTTTCCTTTTTTTCCCCATCTCCCATTTCACCCCTGACTCATAGAGATGACCCATGTCAGTGTCTCAGAATGATGATGTCACTAGCTGCTTTGGAGGGATTGCCCCGTGAGGGCTCTTTTGTACGGAAGCAGCTCCCCTGCTGCTGCTTGCCGTTTAGTGGCAGTTACACACTGAGGGGGGGAAAAAAACGCGCGCACACATACACACACATTGCCTGCCAGACTCATATTTGTGATTAGGACATTTGACTTAATAAACGAGTTCACCACTTTTCGGAGTATTTTCAAGCTTTAATAGACAGGATTGATGTAATTCGGGAAAAGTGAAGTGTTCTCTATTTAGGCAGTAATGTCAATAATGAGCCAAAAAGAGTGCAGCATGTGCTGAGGAATGTGAATATGGGTGATTTGCAGCCTGCGAAGGGTCTGTGTGTCCCCAGCAGGACACTGTACTGTAAGCCACATTTTGGCAGCAAAAAGCATCACGCAAAAAAAACAAAAAACAACATAAATTCTCTCATCTAGTGTCAAAACTAACCACTCCCGAACACAAACTCCCTCATATTTACTTAAAAAAACCTGTGGTGTAACAAACTTATACTTTTTAGCAACATTGCGCAAACATTTAAACACGATCCTAACTTTCCGGTGCATGAAATTATTGGCAGCCATTTTTTTTCATGTCTTTGGTCAAATGTCACAAGAACTAAAAAGAGAAATTGTTATTAATAGATAAATCAGTTCAGTTTATTTTTATAGTCTTATGACTTGGCGCTTCAGGGCACTGTCCAAAAACATTCACATACATTACGCCTCTTTAGGTGAGGCAACTGAAAAAAAAATCTTGTATATTTTAGATCCTATAATAGGTTCATGACCCATTATAGAACTCTAGGAAAAAAATGACGCACACAAAACACAGATTGGCATCGCCGTTGGGAGTGATGTAATGTTGTAACTGTACAGCCTAAGTGAGGTCAGAGCTATAAATCCTGAGTTGTAAATTTGTGGTTCTACAAAGAGAGGCTTGAGGAGTTCAGACCTACCATCTGATAGTGATTTATTTTATTAAAGTTTCTGATTTTTATCATATAAAATTTAATCTACGTAAGCCAATCTATTACTGTATGGGAAGACAGTTACTGGATAACAGATTGCTTGGATCCTGTGTTTTAATCCCATTTTTTCAGCCACAGATTGTTTCCAACAGAGAGCTCTTGGTACCAGCCAGCCCACTGATAAAGATTTAACAAACTAATCACAACGTTAAATAACAGAGCGCTGCCGTCTTTGTTCTACCTACCTCATCGTAGAGGTTAAAACTTCATTTGTACCGACAAATCACTATTTCGCTTCCTCCTCCAGCTGCTTTTACGCAACTTCAACCGAGTTAGACGCTGCATCATGTTTCTGATCAACGTGGGCTGCTACATCAACAGCTGCTTCGAATGGGACTCTCCGCAGAGGAGCATCTGTGCTTTTGTGGTACGTGCCGGGGCACCTTGTGGCTACAGGTTTTTTTTTTGTTTGTTTGTTTTTTACAATGAATACACACATACATGTTTTTAGAGGTTCTTTTTAATTTCAACTGTTTATCTTTAGAAAAAAAACTGAATAAAACAAAACCACTGTATTATACATTGTGGTAAAGTTGATTACAAGTAAGTAAACACTTTTCATGGTAAAAATTAGCTCTAATATTATTTTGTAGAACGCTCACGTGTCCAAATAGAAAGAAAACTCAACTATAACACAATTAATGCGCACAGTAAAAACAGCATCCTCACTCAACAACCTCCTCCCCACCTTTTCTGCCCTCGCCTGTCACTTGAGTCTGATATTAAAAGGTGAAATGTAATTGGACCGCAGAGCTATCAGTAAGAAGACATTCTCCTGCAGGACAGCGAGCAGCTGCATGGAGGTTCCTACCCTGAAGACGACACAGCAGACAGTGAATCCTGTCTGCTTCAGTGTCCACGACTTAAGCAGCGACAGGCCAGGTGGACCCGCCCTGCCCCGGCCCTTTACCGTGGGAGCATTAAGCGTCTCCACAGCAGACATTAGCAGCGTTTGGCTGCCTGACACCCGTTTAATCTTCGCAGAGGCTGGATGTGTGTGTTTGTACAGCAGGTCACATTGTCATCACAAGATGTGGGTCAGAAGAGACATGGTATTGATCTGATAACATTTTCCATTTTGTGTGTTTGTGTGAGTGTGTGTGTGTGTGTGTGTGAGAGAGAGAGAGAGCCTGAAATGTGTGTTTCTCCTCTGGACATGTCGATAGTGATTTTAGAACGAACTAAATACTTCAGACAATAAAAAACATCCAGTAATTCACAAAAAAAAATCTAATTCACTTAAAAAATGCGACAATTTACATGGTGAATGAAGAGAGGGAGATTCAGCCTTGGAAATCACATTTGCATCTTGCAAATACACACACACACACCCCTTGTAGAGCTTTTCAGCTTTCAGAACTGCACAGTTTTAAATTCAAGGTGTATTTCTGATTAACAGCGCAGGCTGTTCGTATTGTGCTCACTCATATTCAGAGAATTCAGATGATGACAAAGAGCGTATCTAGGCCAAGGACAAAGTGTTTTATAGTTTATAGAAATTGTGAAATTTAGGTGTCATTGTGCCTCCCCCCCCCTCCCCTCCTCCTCCTCCTCAGCTCCACCTCTATTCTTTTGGGAGTCTGCTAACGTAGGAGTATGCACTTAGCTAAAAGCATCGGGAGTATTTAGGGCCTCTCCTCCACGCAGGTATTCCCTCCCTCCCCTTCCATTTCTTCATCTCATTTCTCCCTTACTTTGAGAGGCCTCTTAATCACTTCACTCATCTCTTTAAGTGGGTTTTTATGGTGGGCCATCTGGCCAAGGTGGTGCATTCATGAAGGTGTACTGCTGTGTGTGATTATCGGTCTGTGTGTGTCTGTGCACATGTCTGTTTCTGTCTGGCTGTCTTTGCAGGCAGATGTTACACAAAACTTTCCAACACGGCTCTTTTTTTTATAATCGTGGACCTGTGTGCAGTTTAACCCCTAAACTTACAAAATGTGTGCACTTTATAAGAATTAAACAATGCTGAGGGGGGTAAATTTAGGCTTTTTAAATATACTGTATTTGGAGTTTTTTTTTAGTTTTTTTAGAGAACATCAAAATTCAGTTGTCACAACATGTCACAGCACAACACTCCCATCGCAAAGAAAATGCTCACATTTTTGCTTCATGGTCTCTTACTCTCCTTCTGCCCAATCCTGAAATGCCAGCCGCACGTACACATCACCCATTAGTGCCAGCTGTGATAAGTGTGTATATCGTGTGTGTTTTGTGTGCATGTGTGAGAAAGAGAGATATTGCATAGTCTCACATCCAGCCTTTCACTCTGTCTCTCTCTCACACCCACACTGCTGTCACCCACCCATCCCGGCAGTGAATCAGCCACCGTGGCAGCTTTGCCTGAGGCGTTGGCACAATGGACAGTACTGGAGTTACCTCCTGTCCTGCATGATGGGTGGTGTCTCTCTCTCTCTGAGTGTGTGTGTGTGTGTGTGGATCTCCATTCCTTGTCTCGGGGTTAAGCGTCTGCTTCCGCTCTCCACACCTGCAAGCTGAGTATCTCTCCCTTCTACCCATCCGTCCATTCCTGTTCTCCTTTATCCTACCCCCTCCCTCCCTTTCCCCTGCCTACCAGAAAGTTGAGGCCATTGTCGGGGCTGAGCAGTGTTGGGTTCTGTTCTCCCGCTGCTGCCAGCTCTCCCTACGGCCCCTGCAAGACAAGGCTGTTATTGCCCCAGGGACGGCAGGCCTCAGCAGCTCTTCCTCCAAACAAATTTGCTGTAACTTTATCTGCAATTGGGCCCTGAATTGGGAGCAAATAGAGGCAGCTTTGTGAAGCTCAAGGAAGGGCGAGGGCAGCGAGCTGGGGGTTGTTGAGGAGGCAGGGGAAATGATACCGGGTTCTTTTATGTCAGGCAAAGTAGGACTCTTATCAGGAAGAGAGCCCAGACAAGGGAGCTGCTTCTAGAGGAAACTGGAGCACCTATCACCTGCTTTGCATTTAGATAAAAATTCACCCTGCTGAAATAAAAAAGGGTAAAAGAAAAAGCAAAGACAGGTACAGAAGAAACCATTCGAGTGTGTATATGATTGTGTGTGTGTTTGCACATGTCTGGCTGACAGTTTGATACACACACACAGCGCTGAGACGCCATAGCAGTCAGCGGTGCACACCACTCCGGGTCCCTTTAAATTGCTCCTTTGACTTCTCTTCAAAGCGCCTCTCTAACTTTTAAAAGTTTTAAAGTCGGGAGTTCGTCTTTGCCCACAGCAAGGGACAGCTTTGAAAGATATACTTTCACGTTTCACCGCTCTCTCTTCATTTACCAGAAATGAGTGTTAGTAGTAGAAATATGGCGGCGTGACTAAGACAGAATACCAAGTCAGGGTTTAATCACCGGAGACACTCAGCAGAAAACAAGCCCCTTTTTTTGTGCAGGAGTCACACGTTCAGGTTCCTCACTTCTGATTGTTCTTACAGCTGTAGGATTGTGGGCATATGCTTTATTTTGTTTTACAATGTCCTATCAAGATGATTGCCTTTGACACATCAGATTTTAGTGCTTTGTTTTGCAGCCGAACAGCAGGGGGCAGTCTAGCACCACTAAATGATAAGCAAGTCTGGTCACAAGCAGGACACCCCCCCAGCCCCCCTCCCCGCTCCTTCATGTTTCCTCAAACTTAACAGGACTTCTGCTCGCTGTCTGGCATCGCTTAGTGCCTGCATGGAAATTGATGTAAGAGAGATAAAGGGGAAGTCTGAAACCCAAACTTCAGTTTCACTCCACTGAGACAGAGCAAAGGAGGGAAAAGTTAGCTTGGTGTGTGGTTAATGTAAGCCAAAGCACTGAATATTACCCTCCTACAGTGCTGCTGCAAAAAGAGCCGCCAGGACACGGGGTTGTGTTTTCAAACCAGTAATGCATCTCGAAGCCCTGGAATAAATCATTCAGAACTTTTTATTATTTTTTTTATTTTTTTTGTTTTGTTTTGGTAGCATTTTTAATCCATTTTCTTCTGTTTGATTTGCCTTCTAATAGTAAGTGAAAGGACCAATGATTATAAAAGCAATAAAATCTGACAACAGAAACAAGTCAAAATAAATAGATTTAGTGGTTTGGAAGGTATTGATATTTTATCCGAAATGCCACAAATTAATCTACTGTTGTTTTACTTTGTTAACGTTTTTAATTTTAATCATTTGAGTCATTTGAATTCCAGCTTTAGCTCAGATGTGAAGTTTGCCCAGTTCAACTGTTACTTCATTGTTTTTTATTTAAATAAATATTTTTTGTTTTAAAAGTGAAAAATTGTTTTAATTAGCTGTATGACAGGTGATAGTTTGGTTTGAAAAAGCACAAAACAATCAAATGAAATAATAATGCTGACCTTTTTTTTCTTTTTATGACAATTTAGATTCCCAGAGTACAGATAAATTGGCACTTTTTATTACGGATTTGCTTTTAATTGTCACACACAACTTGTTTTGTTGTCAAAATTAACCATTTAACATGAAAATGTGAACATTTTTTGTCTATTTAAAACAGATTCCACTGTAAATGTTCATTCAAATGTAAAGCTAACTTTTCCATAGTGTTTAAAACTTGATTACTAATGAAAAAATATTGTAAATTTGAACCTAAATTCTAAAATAAATGCATACAATGCCATATGTACATACATAAATATGCATTTAAGTTAAATAATTTTACATTCTCAAACAGATATAACAGTTCAGTGATATAAAAGAGAAAAATACGAGCATCCTTTCTGTTCAGATGTCCTCTATAAACAACAGTCACATGGGTTTGTGACCACAGAGTGATCTACAATCTATTCCCATCTCCTACATCTGGAATTTTATTTAGAACGTCTCTCTTTTTTTTACCCATTTGATCTCATGTGTTTTTATAGTTGCTGTTTTTCCTCCACTCCATCTTTCCATGGTCACTGACATCCACAGCGGGCTCCTTCCCACTCCCAGCTCTCCAGGCGAGGAAGCTTCCTATCTGGAGTAGGACGCAACGGGGGGCTGGCTGCTATTGCCTGGTCCTGGTGGAAAGGTCCAGGCATCGCAGGGCCCCACTGTCCAGCCGGTGGGCACAAAGACGATACAGGGCCGCGGCCACCGCTGAGCCCGGGTGTCCGGTTTCTCTAGCTGCCAGTCAAAACGTCCCCCTCAGCCACTTTAGCCAAATGACGGAGGGGAAAAAAAGGGGGAATGACAACTTAAACAACCCCAGGCTCCCACACACACACACACACACACATACACAAAGAGGTTCTAAAACAAGAGAAGCATAAAAGCTTTACGAGTTAATTGTAAACACTAGTAGAGTGCGATACAATTAATTTTTCTTCTGGTGCGTGATAATGATAATACGAGCGATTTAGACAACCAGACAATCTGTTTACACAGCAATCCATGCCTGCTCTAAGCTATATTTATAGCCCCACGTTTGAACGGAGCGCTTGCGTATCTGCGTGAAGATGTTTGTAAGTGTGCGGTTATTTATAGAGTCTACCAGAATAGCTTTAAAGTGAAGTGAGCTCTTTTGTTTGTTCAGCTGATGTCAAGTTCTTGCACCTCGATCGCACGTTGTTTTGTCAGAGATTATTCTGGTGTTTATCAGTGTCACGAATCAGATTCCTAAATAATTTGTCAGCCGATGGAGAATTATTTTTTTAAATAGCATAATTTTTGTTAGACTAAAACAAAGACAGAAAGAAAGAAAACTGAAGGTTTTGTGAGTGTCTGTATGAAATTTTCTATGCTTTCAGTGTTGTAAATGTTTTTGCAATGAATAAAGAGAAGTTGTTTTGCTTGTTAGTACACAATAATGAATTATTAAACCTGTTTGTTTCTCTTACACAGCTGTATCACAGTAGGACTGTGTGTGTCTGAGACAGGGAAGCTGAGACTTGAATCCTTTTGGGAGATTTGGCTGCTGCACCACACCATGCAGGTTTATTTTGAAGAAACATACCTTTGAGTTTTATGCTAATAAACCGGACATGTCTTAATGTTTTATGTATCTATTTGTTTTGCTGTTGAGATTTAATGTTTTTTTGGTGATACATTTTACATGAAGCTTGAAACTTTTTTTTTTTTCGTTTTCCTCCAAAGTTTAAACAGGAGTTGGTCAGAGTTTGCTGTTTGTAAGGATCGCAGCGGCTCGGTGTCTTTTTGCTCCTGGAATGAGCCCAGCTCACACGCTGTTGTTGAACCTCGTCCTCACATTAACCTTAGGCTGCAAAAATAATGAAGAGCTTGATGTTTGCCTCGCTCCTCTCACACACTCACACGCACGCTGCGAAATGAAACAATTTGATTGTTGATTATGAAGCTTCCTCTCTGTCTTGTCAGTATTGTTCGGCTAACAGGATAAATTAATTGTTACACAAAGCAATGAATCGGTTTATTTTATAATTTTTTACAGTAATAGTCTCAATGTTGACACTTTTAAAACTTTACCGTCGAACTCAATTGTTACCCAAAGTAATTATTTTCAAATTGTTGCTTATTTAGTTAAATAATTGATTTGTTGTACTTGAATTTCATGAATATGTTTGGCTGGAGGACACTGAGCATTAGATGCGGTTTGTATTTTCATCATTTGTTATAATTGCTGCAAAGGTTTTATCAGTCTTAGAAAATAAATACAAAAATAATAATAATAAAGAAAAAATCTCAAACATGATACTATTAGAAAGAATAAATATTCTTTTGTTCTGGATGTTTCTGACAGATGATATTCCCTCACAATGCTCCAACTCAACTTTTTTTTTATTTTACAATAATTGACTCAAAGCTGTCTCACAATTGGCACAATACTGAGAGAAAATATCAAGCTATCACCATTAGCAATTCTACTTTCCCACAGATATCTTCTCCCAACCACTGAAATGTGCTGAAGGACACTAAAGAGGCTCTTTCAAAACAAGAATACGGGGTTTAGGAAAAGGTTAATTTTCAGATGGTGCTCTCCTTGTTCGGTGATGAGAGGGGAGGTGTAGAGGTTGTGGTTTTGGCAGATGGGTGCAGAGGAGGTTAGAGACAGGCCATAAGAGTCTTTTGGGGAAGGAGAAGAGGGTATTGGGGCTTGGAGTGACAGGGTTAGAGACTTGGGTTGCGGGGTGTTTGAGGTCAGAGTCTCGAGTTTGGGGCTGGAGCTCCAAAGGGTCAACTTTGATGCGCTGTATCTGAAATGTTACATGACCTCAGACTCCTAGATGATTGGCATGGAGGAAAGAAGCTCTGACGGCTCCAAATCATCCTCAACAGCCATGTTTTCATCAATGTTTTGTTCCTCGTGGTTTAAATTTTTTTTTCCATATTAATGCGTTTGAATGTGTTTTATTTCCAAACCACACACCGACATAGATTGTCAAAGCAAACACCATCAGGAGGCATTAAATGCCTGCATTCTCACAGCACTTTTTCTCTAACAGTTCTGGTTTTGTGTATGTGTGTCCTAATAGATCTTTGTCATCGTTGTTTGGAACTTTGAGATTTATATGATTCCTCTGGCTTTGCTGCTGCCGCTGGCCTGGACCTACATCCTTATCGCGTCGGGGAAGGATACAAGACAAGATGTTGTGAGTATCCTCGACACTGTTTAGCATTTTTGCGCCATTCTTTTATTTTCAACTGTAAAAGCCCACTTCCAAAATGAGTGGAATCAACTGAAGTCATTTTGTTGGGACCTTACACTTAAAATTTACTTTACTTAAAATGTTTCAGGCATGTATTTTTTATTTATTTAAAGGAACACTACTGGTTATCCCAATCAGATGTACAGAAGAGTGAGAAAGCACACTTTTCTGAAAACATTTCAGAGCGCACCTTTTGATTAAATTGCACTTGCAAACTTTGAGCAGAATCGGAATTAAAAAAAAAATCTATCTGCCAGTTTTTGTTAATGAAAAACTCCATCTGCCACACAAGGAGCCGCATTCTCACTGCATCTCACATTTCTCTCTTTGCCTTCTTTTGAGCCTAAGAGAAGGGAGAAATAATAGGCTGTCACCTTGAGCTATGTTACGCCACTTACCTGGTAGTATATTTATTTAATTCATTTAAATATATATTTTTTTATCTCTTCTACCAATTAAATGATGTCAAAGCAATGTCATGGAGAAACAGACGCGTTTTAATCATGGCCAGCCACATTTGGAGTGCAGAAAGTGAAGACGAGGGAGAGAGCTGGACTATGGAGTGAGCGTGAACAATGAAGTGATTAATTTTAATAAGTGCCTTCTTCCAAGACTCACTCGGAAATAACCCGTTAAGAGACTTCAGATTTTCTCGCAGTCCCATCTTCAATGTGTATATTTATCTCTGCCTAAGGAATCTTTAGGTTAGATTGGATTGGGTTTGGAAGCCGTATTAAATTCTGTCATTATAATAAACCAAATCTAATAGCTGTCGGTCATTGTAATGTTACACATAAAAAATGGAATTAGATGTGAACTGTACATGACACACACTGTAGTTCTAATAGGTCCTCGGAGCTAATCTTCTCTGTTTATAAGCCCCCTGTTATCATATTTCTCATTTAAAGTGTCATTAAAATGAGCAAAAAGGACACCATTCCTATAAAACCTCACATTAATCTATGAACAATATTCACTTCCTTAAAGCTCATATTCAAATTATGCTGTAAACAAGTCCAAACAAAGGTTTCCAGGCGAGTTCAAGGGTGAAGTGAGCCATTTGTGAATGAGACTAAAATTTAAGAGGGCTGATTCTTCTCACCTGTAGATGGCGACATTGCCTGAGAAAATGTATGAATAAAAAATAAATAAATAAATAAATAAATAAATAAATAAATAAATAAATAAATAAATAAATAAATCGCCACCTCCTTAAAACACAACCGAGCTCTGTGGTTTGTATGCACATGAGCTTTACTTCACGTCTTAAATAAAATGAGGCACCAGAGTTTACGCATGCTTGAAGTCACTTCAAATAACATAAAGTACATTTGTTGCATGAACTTGACATCTTTTTTCATTTATTTTTAGTGTTTTTTTTTTCTCTGTAGTTTTAGACACTTTAACCTAAATTCTCCCTACTTTTCAGCATCTGTATCTGCGTCAAGAAGCCACTATGGCTGTGAATATGTTTCATCACAAGAGCACTTGTGCAAAGCTCACCATCTTTCCAATGAATGTCTTTATTATTTCCTCTCATCTGTATGAGTTTCTTCAACTGAATGAGTTTGCTGCGTGCAGCCCACCTTGCACTTTGACAGTGTAGATTACTTTGTGTTGGGCTGTGAGTGCTGGTGCTGTCTGGTGTGGGATATGTGAGGAAGTTGTTTTTGACTGCTGCTGAGATAATTAAAGGGAAAATTCTTGGGGAAAAAGGCAAATGAAATGGCATCAACGTGTAGGTCTTATTAGTGAACAAGCAGGTGTGTCCAATATTTGCTGATACTGCCTATTGTGTGTGCAATAGAGTGTTTTTATTTATTTTTTTTGCCATCTGATTTTTTTCCCCAACTACAATCAAATAAATGATTAGAACTCTTGTGTCCGCATTTATCACTGATATTTTATGTGTTTGGAAAGTTGCTCCGTAGTCATAAAAAAGTTTTTGTATGTGTTCAGGTCAAAATAGGTGTATTTGTAGCTTCTGCCTGAGCATTAAATTGACAGAAAATCGTTTGCAAGGCTAATAATTAACAAAGATTAGCAAATTTATTGTTTTTTTTCCCTGTTGCTGTGTCTGTCGTGTTCAAGAATAAAAAGCAGCTCAGAAGACACAATGAAAGAAATTACGATAATTGTAGACCCTCTTGTCTTGAAGATGCAGTTTCACTCTCCTAACTGTTGAATGTGATGAACCAATTGTCCTTTACTTCATTATTTAGTTCTCTTCGTCCTTCAGTGACAATATTACCATCTCATGTCGAGACTTGGCTCATGCAGCAAAAGAAAAAGTTTATTGTAAACGTTTGTTATTTTGAGGTTTTTTGTGTTTTTACAGGCTTTGCACGCACAGACGTACTTGAACTTGCACTTTCAGGTGCAAGAATCCCCAGAGTCCTGTCCCTGTTTGTTTTCACTTTCCCCGAACTGTAGCATGCGAAGCGGCGGAGGTTTGAGCACGCTGAGAACACACGGTAACCGTGGTTCTCCACTTCCTCTCCCGCTTCCTCGGAGTCCTTTTCCGAGTCTTTATCAGGCTGAAGTCGTGGTCAAAAGTTTCCCCTCCTGCACTTGGCAGAGAACTGAGACGAACAGAAAAGAAAACAGAAGGAAAAGGCTTCCTAATTACTTTAAACAACACACCAAATTAAAGCATTGTGCTGGGCCAAGCGAGGGGTCAGCATCCGGAGCGCCACGGTTTTCCAGCAGTCTGGGTTGAGGATAAAGCCAAAGGAATCTCTCTCTCTCTCTCTCTCTCTCACAGGCATGGAGAGAGAAAGGGTGGGGGGAGAATGAGAGAAAGCGAAAAAAAGAAACAACACACTTGAGTACAGACTTCTTAATGAACTGGCCTTGACTCGTCTGATGGGTTCAACGTGCCGACCCCTTCTCTGGTTTTACACCGCAGCCCCAGTCTATAGCCCTGTCTAGCAGGTAAACAGTGTTCTCTACACGCAGTAATTCACCACCCAGGGTCACTGACTGTTGTGTGGCTACATGCTGCTTTGCAAACAGACCCCGGATCAGCGCTCCTTACCCTAGCCCCAACCTTGACCAGTACCTGTTAAGCAGTGAAGGCGTCCTTAAAACGGCGATTAAAGGAGGCACTGCACCAGCGAGGTCCCCGACCTCTTCTCTTATCTTGTAGCAGCACTCTGACCTGCAGACGCTGACTCTTTAACACCGTCAGATGACCTGTATGCCTCATACTGCAACCTGTTCACAGAAACAAACAGGAGGAGGATTCGTTTTCTCTTTAAAACTAAGTTTTTATTCTGGGAAAAGGAAACTGATAATCAAGGGGAGACACATCTTTGCTGTCAGCATTTGGATAGAGTCACTTTGTGTTGGGAGGTGGATGAGAATTTTAAAACTTGGGGTGATCTGATTCTTAAATTTATTTACTTTTTGCCGGTTTAGAAAGCCCAACTAGTGGTTTGGGTACTCCTCTTTAGAAACCTAAAGTTTTATATTTTGGCAGTTTTTTGTGTGTGTTTCACATTTAAAACCAGTCATTACAAAAGAGCAATGGATGTAATGGTATGGTCATGCTTGTCCAATGGGTGTCGAAGAGGAAGCCTCGCAAAAAAGATTATTTGGTTTGTCTTTTTTATCATTCTATAAAATGTACTAAATGATAAGGCACATCTGCACCAATTTAATTTTAAACGGACAGTTCAGATTGTTTGAAGTGAGATTCTGTGGAAAAGCTACAAACAGTTAATATATGTTGGAAATAGTTTTTTGAACAATTTCGATTATAAAAATTGAGCGCATTGCTAAACTGATGGCTAGTCCAGCCAAGTCCAAAACCAAAGAGGGCTGTTGTATTTAAGTGACTCCATCTCAATAATTATATATATATATATATATATATAATTATTATATAGCAGAGAGGATCATCGGGGCCCCCCTTCCCTCAATTCAGGACCTTTCATCCCGGCGCTGCGTGTCCCGAGGCCGAAACATCGTCAGTGACCCCTCACACCCCCACTATGGATGGTTCTCCCTGCTGCCCTCTGGAAAGAGGTTCCGCAGCATCCGGTGCAGGACCTCCAGGTTCCGAAACAGTTTCTTCCCACTTGCCATCAGACTGCTGAACTCTTAACCGCACTGTACTTAATATCTGGTCTCACTTTATATCTAGCCATGTACAGAACTAAAGAACTTCTATTTTACTGTCATTCCTGCACTCTATATTTTTATATTTTTATATTTACATACATWTYTTATWCTGTATTTTTGAAAGCTCAAAACACTGTCCTGAGCCGTATGCAACGAAATTTCGTTTTGTATACACCTTGTGCATGCAACATGACAATAAAGTTTTTTTTTTTTTAAGTTAAAAGTTAAAGTTAAAGTTAAGTTACATTAGATAGTAGTTCACGCAAAAGTGTTTTTTAAATAAAACTTTCCTGTCAGCTTTATATGACACAATATTTACAGTTAATTTAAAGATCATTTGCATGTGTAAATAGCAGCGGCAGCAGCAAGCTGTAGCGCTTCCAGGTTACAAGCTGCAATCTGGATATCCTCCCACAATGATGTTTTGTATTAATTTCTGCTTGCTCACGTAAGAGTATATAACGGGCCCTGCGTTTAACAAGCAGGGACACATCCCAGCAGATATCCCTTCTTGCTGTTCTCGTGGCCCAGAAAAGCCCCGGCCAGATGTTATAAAGGTGTTACTTTTCCAGCGCAGGCTGTTACACGGGCTACATATGGAACATGGTGATGTCTCTTTCTGCCGCAAAATGACGGGCAATTAGGCCTCGTCACACTGGAGGACCATCCTCTTTATCCCATGCTTCAGACCATTACACTGATTCACCCATTGGATCTGCCAACCTATTACGGAAGAGAAGACCTTAATGGCCTGAAGATACTTCACACTCCGAAACGTGCTTCCAGCAGCAAGAAAATCGGCTACTTTTAACCCACTT